CTGTTGCTGCTGGCTGCACGCAAACCAACATACGAGCCACAGCCCGGCTGATCCGGAACTGACTTTAGGTGCTTGTCCAGTGCCAGCTTGAAGACTGCCAGGGGTCTGTTGGTAATCCCCCTTATGTGTGCTGGGAGGCAGTTGAACAGTCTCGGGCCCCTGACACTTATTGTATGGTCTCTTAACGTGCTAGTGACACCCCTGCTTTTCATTGGGGGGATGGTGCATCGTCTGCCAAGTCTTTTGCTTTCGTAGTGGGTGATTTTCGTGTGCAAGTTCGGTACTAGTCCCTCTAGGATTTTCCAGGTGTATATAATCATGTATCTCTCCCTCCTGCGTTCCAGGGAATACAGGTTTAGGAACCTCAAGCGCTCCCAATAATTGAGGTGTTTTATCTCCGTTATGCGCGCCGTGAAAGTTCTCTGTACATTTTCTAGGTCGGCAATTTCACCTGCCTTGAAAGGTGCTGTTAGTGTGCAGCAATATTCCAGCCTAGATAGAACAAGTGACCTGAAGAGTGTCATCATGGGCTTGGCCTCCCTAGTTTTGAAGGTTCTCATTATCCATCCTGTCATTTTTCTAGCAGATGCGATTGATACAATGTTATGGTCCTTGAAGGTGAGATCCTCCGACATGATCACTCCCAGGTCTTTGACGTTGGTGTTTCGCTCTATTTTGTGGCCAGAATTTGTTTGTACTCTGATGAAGATTTAATTTCCTCATGTTTACCATATCTGAGTAATTGAAATTTCTCATCGTTGAACTTCATATTGTTTTCTGCAGCCCACTGAAAGATTTGGTTGATGTCTGCCTGAGCTTTGCAGTGTCTGCAATGGAAGACACTGTCATGCAGATTCGGGTGTCATCTGCAAAGGAAGACACGGTGCTGTGGCTGACATCCTTGTCTATGTCGGATATAAGGATGAGGAACAAGATGGGAGCGAGTACTGTGCCTTGTGGAACAGAGCTTTTCACCGTAGCTGCCTCGACTTTACTCTGTTGACGACTACTCTCTGTGTTCTGTTAGTGAGGAAATTATAGATCCATCGACCGACTTTTCCTGTTATTCCTTTAGCACGCATTTTGTGCGCTATTACGCCATGGTCACACTTGTCGAAGGCTTTTGCAAAGTCTGTATATATTACATCTGCATTCTTTTTGTCTTCTAGTGCATTTAGGACCTTGTCGTAGTGGTCCAATAGTTGAGACAGACAGGAGCGACCTGTTCTAAACCCACGTTGCCCTGGTTGTGTAACTGATGGGTTTCTAGATGCGTGGTGATCTTGCTTCTTAGGACCCTTTCAAAGATTTTTATGATATGGGATGTTAGTGCTATTGGTCTGTAGTTCTTTGCTGTTGCTTTACTGCCCCCTTTGTGGAGTGGGGCTATGTCTGTTGTTTTTAGTAACTGTGGGACGACCCCCGTGTCCATGCTCCCTCTCCATAGGATGGAAAAGGCTCGTGATAGGGGCTTCTTGCAGTTCTTGATGAACACAGAGTTCCATGAGTCTGGCCCTGGGGCAGAGTGCATGGGCATGTCATTTATCGCCTGTTCGAAGTCATTTGGCGTCAGGATAACATCGGATAGGCTTGTGTTAATCAAATTTTGTGGCTCTCTCATAAAAAATTCATTTTGATCTTCGACTCTCAGTCTGGTTAGCGGCTTGCTAAAACTGAGTCATATTGGGACTTGAGTAGCTCACTCATTTCCTTGTTGTCATCTGTGTAGGACCCATCTTGTTTAAGTAGGGGCCCAATACTGGACGTTGTTCTCGATTTTGATTTGGCATAGGAGAAGAAATACTTTGGGTTTCTTTCGATTTCATTTATGACTTTTAGTTCTTCCCGCGATTCCTGACTCCTAAAGGATTCTTTTAGCTTAAGTTCGATGCTTGCTATTTCTCTGACCAGTGTCTCCCTACACATTTCAGATATATTGACCTCTTTTAGCCGCTCTGTTATTCTTTTCCGTCGCCTGTAAAGGGAGCGCCTGTCTCTTTCTGTTTTACATCTACTCCTCCTTTTTCTTAAGAGGAATAAGCCTTGTGCATACATCGAGTGCTACCGAGTTAATCTGTTCTAGGCATAAGTTGGGGTCTGTGTTGCTTAGTATATCTTCCCAGCTTATATCGGTTAGGACTTGGTTTACTTGGTCCCACTTTATGTTTTTGTTATTGAAGTTGAATTTGGTGAATGCTCCCTCGTGACTAATCTCATTATGTCGGTCTGGGGCTCCGCGCATACATGACTGAACCTCAATTATGTTGTGATCTGAGTATATTGTTTTTGATATGGTGATGTTTCTTATCAGATCATCATTGTTAGTGAAGATGAGGTCTAGTGTATTCTCCAGTCTAGTAGGCTCTATTATTTGCTGGTTTAAATTGAATTTTGTGCAGAGATTTAAAAGCTCGCGTGAGTGTGAGTTTTCATCAGAGCTGCCTCCTGGTGTTATTACTGCAACAGTATTATTTGCTATATTCCTCCATTTTAGGTGCCTTAAGTTGAAATCCCCCAGAAGCAAGATGTTGGGTGCAGGAGCTGGAAGGTTTTCCAGACAGTGGTCAATTTTTAACAGCTGTTCCTGGAATTGCTGGGATGTTGCATCCGGAGGCTTGTAGACTATCACAATGACTAGGTTTTGGTTCTCGACCTTTACTGCTAAAACTTCCACTACATCATTTGAGGCATTTAGCAGTTCTGTGCAAACAAGTGACTCTGCAATGTACAGGCCAACCCCCCCCCCCCCTTTTGCCTGTTCACTCTGTCACATCTGTATAGGTTGTAACCTGGGATCCATATTTCGTTGTCCAAGTGATCCTTTATGTGGGTCTCAGTGAAAGCCGCGAACATTGCCTTTGCCTCTGCAAGCAGTCCACGGATGAAAGGTATTTTGTTGTTTGTTGCTGGCTTTAGACCCTGTATATTTGCAAAGAAGAATGTTATCGGACTGGTGGTATTGTTGGTACTGGGGGGGAATTTTTTTTCCGGCATTAGTATCTGTATCTGTTGGTTTGTAGTGGAGGCCATCGACTGTGGTGGTGTCAACTACTGGCAGCTTTTTGAAGTTTCTCCTTACTGTTATTATTACTATAAGAAGAAGAAAAAGAAGAAGAAGAAGAGAAGAAGAAGAAGAAGAAGAAGAAGAAGAAGAAGAAAGAAGAAGAAGAAGAAGAAGAAGAGAAGAAGAAGAAGAAGAAGAAGAAGAAGAAGAAGAAGAAGAAGAAGAAGAAGAAGAAGAAGAAGAAGAAGAAGAAGAAGAAGAAGAAGAAGAAGAAGAAGAAGAAGAAGAAGAAGAAGAAGAAGAAGAAGAAGAAGAAGAAGAAGAAGAAGTAGAGTAGAAGTAGTAGTAGTAGTAGTAGTAGTAGTAGTAGTAGTAGTAGTAGTAGTAGTAGTAGTAGTAGTAGTAGTAGTAGTAGTAGTAGTAGTAGTAGTAGTAGTAGTAGTAGTAGTAGTAGTAGTAGTAGTAGTAGTAGTAGTAGTAGTAGTAGTAGTAGTAGTAGTAGTATTTAGTAGTAGTAGTAGTAGTAGTAGTAGTAGTAGTAGTAGTAGTAGTAGTAGTAGTAGTAGTAGTAGTAGTAGTAGTAGTAGTAGTAGTAGTAGTAGTAGTAGTAAAGGTTATACCACCAGCAAAGGGCGTTACAGTGATTGTTGACACAGTTGACGGAGAAACAGCTCACAGGAGATATGTAGTGTAGCGAGATAAACATAAAAATTGTATATAGCAGTCCTTAAGAAAAGTGTGAACTCCTGACAGGATATGCCGCTCTGCATTTCTTCTCCAAGATATGTAAATGTCGTATGTACACCAGATCTAATTCAGTTAGCCTCACAAACTCCGTTTTCTCTTATAGCACCTCTGTTTTCATAGCTAGAATGTTCGACCACAATCCTCCTTCCTCTGCTGTCCACATGACATATTTTATTCAATCTAGTGTATATCAGGTTTCTATCTTATTTATATTGTTTATTATGTCATATTAGATGAATTGTGATGGATAAATAAGCCATAGAGTTGATATTAGGGTTATTTTGTCATGCCTCTTGAGAGCAGGAATTCAGCTGGAACGAATTAATTGCATTTCAATTAATTTAAAAAAGGAAAATTGACCCAGCATATGAACAAATCAGGATCCGAACAAGTCCACAGAATGAATTAAATTCGTAAGCCGAGGTTCCACTGTACACCACAAGGTCACTGTTTTACACCAAAAGCACAGTTGCCTATTTTTCTCATTATGCACTGCGTGCTGCAGGGTTTTTTATATGTAGTGCACACTGAATGATGATGAAAGTATTTTCTTTTTGGGGATTTTCTTTCTTTCTTGGTCACCCTGCCTTGGTGGGAGATGGCCAACAAAACTTACAACAAAACTTACCACACAGACCTATTCTCTCGTATGTAGGCCCAAATTTACCAGTCACAGCTTATCTGAGTGAGCTGAGCTCATGGCAACTGACAGTGACCTCAAAGCCACCTTCTGTTTTATGGACAATGTAGAGTGTATGTGCTTTACACAACGAGAAGCATTTCTTTTATTCGTTGGAACCATGGCTAGGGCTAAAAGTGAGCAGGTTATAAGAATAATTGGAGAAAAAGAAATTGGAATAACTCGTGCAGCAAGTAGCACCACCAAACAGTAGTGGAAGGTTGATGTTGCTACCCTGGAAATCTGAAATTAGGCTAGACGAAATTAGTCCCAGATTACTGATGGAACCAGATTACTGATTGCCGGATTAGTGATGGCCAACCTTTACTGTATGTACTTGAAACAAAACAAATTATGCCACATCTAAAATTTCAGTAAAAAGTACAAGGATAAACAGTAAAAATTCTTAATGCTGTAACTGAAATAAATTTTCTAAATATTTTCTGTTGAAGTTTAACTTAGGTTAGTTATTTGTTAATTATCATAACAGTATCATGACATTTGTTACATTCTACAAATATATTTGAATGGAAATTTGCTGTGAAAATATTACTATAGTACTGTACTAACTCCGGATGTCTTGTGTCTGGGATGGATCGGTCCATGGCTATCTCATCAGACACTACCATGTTGATGCCATATTCACTGACTGACTGTGTCCCTTCATTCTGTTTATTAGGAGGTAGATGATATGGCTTTCCACCTTCTCCAGGGCCACTCCTAGGTGGACTTTCTGCAGGTTCAAAATTACCCATTCTGTTATCTAGATATACAACCTTCTGCTTGGTTTTGCTCTGCAAGTTAAAAAAAAAAAAAGTTAATTAATATGTGTACAGTTATTAAACTTCTTGACTGCTCTGTAGATTCAAACAACATTGATTTGCTCATCCATTCTGCCTTCAGCAGCTTTGTGCTGCCATGGCTATCAGTAGACAAATACAGCATGCAACACAATTAAAATAATCAACTTATGTATAGTCAATTAAGCTGGCAAATACTGTACTGTATATTACCAGTACATGCTATTTAATGAACCAAAATAATTTACACATACAGTAAACTCTTGATATAACAGACTAATGAGGGAGGAGGTTACTGTCTGAGAACCCTTTAAATCAGAAAGCTTAAAAAATAGCAAAACAGGCACTTAAGTACTCTACTATATACCGAATATAGTACTGTATTAACAGTTCAAATACATATTGCAATAAATACTGAAAATAGAGGAGTTAAAAGTACAATTTAACTAGTGGATTTCTGCCCATAATTTTCAGTCCATTACATCAAGGTCTGTTATACTGAGGGTTTACTGTACTTGAATTGACAAATGTTTTCTACAAAGACAGCGTAGTTGTGTGTTGTGATCCTGGTTCCCAGTGATACCACACTGTCAGGTCCAGGCTATAGAGAAAGATCAGGCCATCAACATGCAAGTTTGCTATGAGTATTCTGCCATTATTTTGTTGGTAGAGAACAGAATGATCATCTGTGGAGGCCAGGACAAACAATACTTCATAGTAATATCACACATGGTCATGGATGGAGCTACCACAGGAAACATCTTTGGGAATTACCCCAATGATTCTAGAGCTGTTTTCAACTCTTGGATAAATTTTAACAATATTCATTATAGCTGCTACTGCTACCAAATATGGCTCCTGTGACTATTTAAAATTCAATGTGTAATGAATCTAATGGTATTTATTATATTCAACATACCTTCCTTAACCCTTTGACTGTTGCGGCCGTATATATACATCTTACGAGGTACCATGTTTGACGTATATATACATACTCATAAATTCTAGCGGCTTCAAATCAAGAAGGAGAAAGCTGGTAGGCCCACATGTGAGAGAATGGGTCTGTGTGGTCAGTGTCCACCACATAAAAAAAATCCTGGAGCACGCAGTGCATAATGAGAAAAAAAAAAACTCTGGCCGTTTTTTTTAATTAAAATGCCGACTTTGTGGTCTATTTTCGTATAGTATTTATGGTTGTATTCTCATTTGATAGAATGGAAAACATATTACAGAAAAAGAGATGATTTTGATTGATTTTACTATAAAAAGAACCTGGAAATGGAGCTCAAAGTAGGGGAAATGTTTGATTTTTGCCGATGTTCAAAAGTAAACAAATGACATCATTGTCCAATAAATGTCCAACTAGCCATTCTAATATACAGTCATGAATGGGTTGATGTTATTTATACAATTATTACAGTATTGGAGTAGTCTGCATAATAGTAAATCTTCTATTTTTTGGTGGAATAAAAATTCAAAATAGAAAGCAAGAGTAATATCAGAGGGGCCTGCAGACATGACTGATGAACAGAGAAAATGTTATTTTAGAGCCAGGAATGTCTGCATTGTTCATTCTGGACCTTATTTTGAAATTGTCATATTTTTTAATTTTCGTGAAATTGGCCAAATTGCAAATTTCTGACCACGTTATTGGGTAGTTGAGATTGGTAAATTGGCAGTTTCTTGTACTCAGTTGATAGAAAAAATGGAGTTCTAAAGAAATAGCTAAGAGTTTGGTCGACTGAAAGAATGGAATTAGCCGAAAATAGGGTTCAAAGTGGGTGAAATCGCCGATTTGTAAATATCGCCAAGGTCGCTAACTTTGCGAGAGCGTAATTCCGTCAGTTTTCCATCAAATTTCGTTTTTTTTTTGGTGTCATTACAATCGGGAAAAGATTCTCTATCATTTCACAAGAAAAAATAATTTTTTATTTTTTTTTAAATTTTGCGACACCAGGAGACACCTCAGGATTGGGGGTTGCGACAGTCAAGGGGTTAATTTGTCAATCACTCTACAAAAAGATATAAAATAATGAAGACCCAACTGAATAAACAAGCAAATGTGCTTTCTATGTTGTATTCTGCACCTACTCAACCCCTGCCAATTTGAATTCAGGAAAAATAAAAGCACTAACGATGCAATCATAAAAATGCTAGATCTGCTTTACACAGCATTGGAAAATAAGGAATATCCACTAAGAATTTTTATTGACCTAAGAAAAGCTTTTGACACAGTAGACCACGGCATCCTACTCCACAAACTTGACCATTATGGTATAAGAGGCCATGCGCTTGCATATTTCAAATCTTACCTTACTAACAGGTATCAGTATGTCACCATTAAAGACACAGCATCAACAACACAGCCACTTGATACTGGAGTTCTGCAGGGAAGTGTCCTTGGTCCCCTGCTCTTCCTCATATACATCAATGATCTTCCAAATGTATCTCAACACCTGAACCCCATTCTCTTTGCTGACGACACGACTTATGTCATCTCTCACCCTAATCTTGCCACCCTCAACACCATTGTTAATGAGGAGTTGATCAAAATATCGACTTGGATGACAGCCAATAAACTTACGCTTAACACTGACAAAACCTACTACATTATGTTTGGTAGCAGAGCAGGAGATGTGCAAATTAACATTAAGATCGACAACACTCTAATTGCCAGGCATAATGAGGGCAAATTCCTAGGCCTATACCTCGACAACAACCTGAACTTCAGCACCCATATCCAACACATAACCAAAAAAGTATCCAAAACGGTTGGGATCCTCTCCAAGATACGATACTACATGCCGCAAACTGCCCTTCTCACACTATACCATTCACTTACATATCCACACCTCACCTATGCTATCTGTGTTTGGGGTTCAACTGCAGCAACACACCTAAAGCCAATAATAACCCAACAAAAAGCCGCAGTAAGAATAATCACTAAATCCCATCTCTGGCAACACACCCCCCCACTCTTCATAGATCTAAACTTACTCCCTGTTCAGTACATCCACACTTACTACTGTGCAATCTACATCTACAGGACCTTAAATTCCTATATTAACCTTGACCTAAAATGCTTTCTTGATAGTTGTGACAGAACCCACAGGCACAACACCAGACACAAACATCTCTATGACATTCCCCATGTCCGACTAAACCTTTACAAAAATTCAATGTATGTCAAAGGCCCTAAAATCTGGAACACCCTACCTGAAAATTCTAAAACTGCAGACACATTCATCACCTTCAAAACTACCATCAGAAAACATCTTATCTCCCTGATACACCCTGTCAACTAATTACACGAATACCACCTGGTGGTTAACACTTACACTCACTCACCCATTTGACCATAAACAGAAATATCAATCTCAAAATAATGAATCTTAACTAGTCATAAGTTGGCCTGTGATACTCCAATACTGAAACTATGTATAGTGCCAAAACAAAAGCATTCACATTGCTAAACTCACAAACTAGTATTTAGTCACTTAGCCATAATACCAACTTACCTCATAATTTTGTAATATTTTGAACTTAAGATTTAATTTAAGTCTGCTCGAAATGCCTAGCCATGCTAGGTGTTCTAGTGGTACACTCTGTAATTATTATTTTACTACATGTAAACCACACAATAACCAAATTCTGCAAACTCAGCATTGTCATCCTTATAGAGAATAAACTTTGAATTTGAATTTGAATATTCAAACCTTATACAGTGGACCCCCAGTTTACAATATTATTTCATTCCAGAAATATGTTCAGGTGCCAGTACTGACCGAATTTGTTCCCATAAGGAATATTGTGAATTAGATTAGTCCATTTCAGACCCCCAAACATACACATACAAACGCACTTACATAAATACACTTACATAACTGGTCGCATTGGGAGCTGATCGTAAACTGGGGGTCCACTGTATTTCAGGTCACTGAAGCCTGAAATCAATTTAACCTAGAATTCCAGGTTAAAAATTTTGTACCCATTCTTTTTTCTATCATCAAACCAGCCATATCCCATTGATGCAGGGTGACCCAAAAAGAAAAACGAAAGTTTCTCTGTTTAACCCTTTGACTGTCGCAGGCCCCTTTCTGAAACTGTCATTCTATGTCGATAAATTTTTGGAAAAAAAAAAAATAGTTTTTCTCATGAAATGATAGAGAATCTTTTCCCGATGGTAATGACACCAAAAGTATGAAATTTGGTCAAAAACTCACGGAATTACGCTCCCGCAAAGTTAGCGGTTTTGGCAACATATAGGCATCAGCGATTTCGCTGACTTTGAGCCCTGTTTTTGGCCAATTCCGTTGTTCCAGTTGACCAAACTAATAGGTATTTCTTTAGAACTCCATTTTTTCTATCTGTTAAGTACAAGAAACCGCCCATTTACCGATTTGAACTGCCCAATAAAGTGGTCAAAAATTGGCAATTTGGCCAATTTCATGCAACTTATAAAAGATGCCAATTTCAAAATAGGGTCCAGAATAAACAATGTAGACATTCTTGGCACTAAAATAATATATCCTCTGTTCATTAGTCACGTCTCTAGGCCCCTCTTATATTACTATTGCTTTCTATTTTGATTTTTTATTCATACAAAAAAATACAAAATTTACTGTTATGCAGACTACTGCATTATTGCAACAATGGTATAAATAATATCAGTGCACTAGTGAAAGAATATTAGACTCCCCAGTTGACATGTATTGGACGTGTGGTGTGATTTGCTTACTCCTGAACATTGGTAAAAATCAAACATTTCCACTACTTTGAGCTCAATTTCAAGGTCATTTTCATCGTGAAAGTAATCAAAATCATCTCTATTTCTGTAATATGTTTTCCATTTTATCACCCGAGACCATGAAAACAAGAATACAGTGGACCCCCGGTTAACGATATTTTTTCACTCCAGAAGTATGTTCAGGTGCCAGTACTGACCGAATTTGTTCCCATAAGAAATATTGTGAAGTAGATTAGTCCATTTCAGACCCCCAAACATACACGTACAAACGCACTTACTTAAATACACTTACATAATTGGTCGCATTCGGAGGTAATCGTTATGCGGGGGTCCACTGTACAATGATAAATACTATACGAAAATACACCTCAAAGTCAGTGTTTTAATCCAAAAAAACAGTCAGTTTTTTTTTCTCATTATGCACTGCGTGCTGTAGGATTTTTTTTATGTGGTGCACACTGACCACACAGACCCATTGTCTCACATGTAGGCCTACCAGCTTTCTCCCGCTTGATTTGAAGCTGCTAGAATTTACGCGTATAAATACGTCCAAAACAGTGGCGCGTAAGACGTATATATGTGACCGAAACAGTCCAAGGGTTAAGCAAGTTCAAGCTCTTGAAGAGCAGTGGGGAGGAGAATAAGTCCAATTCCTTGGATCAGGATGCTGTATTTTTAGCTACCCATTATATGTCATGCTACTAGAATACTGTTACTGACCATGAGTGCACCAGCTGACCTAATGGACGCTCCGTGAGGTGTGTTAGCTCCCAAGAAGAGTAGCAACCCAATTATGCTTGTTACTCCCAGGACAATCTTGAAGAGTCGACCACGACGAAGTTGTAAGATACGCATCTTCACACCAATTACTACTTTTGCATTACTACGATCCTGAAAAATTATTAGATATAATTTATGCAGTAAATACAATGCTATTCTATACATAATTATATAATATTTATGCAGGTTAAAAAAGCTTTTTGTTGATTCATGTACTGTGCATACAGAAGTGATCATCTGAAATTATGTATTTGTAGTTACAACAGAGCAATGGTCATGTTGCTCCATCATCATTTTTAGTTTGTCATAATTTTCTAGATTTCCACCAGTGGTTGTAACATTAATGTACAACACTAGCCATTCCTTTGATACTATTTCAGCAGCCTTCCACTGTTAATATAAATAGTAAAAAGTTTATTTCAGCATGATACAATGTATATATGTACAAGGTGAATGATATTTGGGGGTATATACAGAAAGCCTGTATATATGCAGAGCATTTCAAGCAAACTTAAGATCAACTTAAGATTAACAAGGCAACATTTACAGTCACTTGGGCAAGTGTAGGTATAAATTTAGGAATTTACAATGAATACAAGAGAACTGAATATCCTATTTGTTCATGCTATTTGGCATTAACAAGTTTAACTGAGAGGAATTACAGGATTGATTATTAACATTTTTCATGGTTTACAATTGTGTCAACATATTTTCTGTCTAATGTACTAGAAAAACAAAAAAAATTACTGTTTTTCCCTTGTTTTCATGATCTCAAGTGTTAGAGTGTAATAGGGTGTTTAGAGTCTCAGTGTGGTGAAGGATGAAGGGAATCTTGCTATGGGTGGAAGATGATGGGAGTCTCAATGTGAGTTAAAGATGGTGGTTTCACTGTGGGTGGAGTGTGGCAGCAGTCTCACTGTTGGTGGAGTGTGGGGGCAGTCTCACTATGGGTGGAGTGTGGGGGCAGTCTCACTGTGGGCAGAGTGTGGGGGCAGTCTGAGTGTGGGGGCAGTCTCACTGTGGGTGGAGTGTGGGGGCAGTCTCACTGTGGGCGGAGTGTGGAGGCAGTCTCACTGTGGGCAGTGTGTGGGGGCAGTTTCACTGTGGGCGGAGTGTGGGGGCAGTCTCACTGTGGGCGGAGTGTGGGGGCAGTCTCACTGTGGGCGGAGTGTGGGGGCAGTCTCACTGTGGGCGGAGTGTGGGGGCAGTCTCACTGTGGGCGGAGTGTGGGGGCAGTCTCACTGTGGGCGGAGTGTGGGGGCAGTCTCACTGTGAGCAGAGTGTGGGGGCAGTCTCACTGTGAGCGGAGTGTGGGGGCAGTCTCACTGTGGGTGGAGTGTGGGGGCAGTCTCACTGTGGGCGGAGTGGGGGCAGTCTCACTGTGGGCGGAGTGCGGGGGCAGTCTCACTGTGGGCGGAGTGTGGGGGCAGTCTCACTGTGGGCAGAGTGTGGGGGCAGCCTCACTGTGGGCAGAGTGTGGGGGCAGCCTCACTGTGGGCGGAGTGTGGCGGCAGCCTCACTGTGGGCGGAGTGTGGCGGCAGCCTCACTGTGGGAGGAGTGTGGCGGCAGCCTCACTGTGGGCGGAGTGTGGCGGCAGCCTCACTGTGGGCGGAGTGTGGCGGCAGCCTCACTGTGGGCGGAGTGTGGCGGCAGCCTCACTGTGGGAGGAGTGTGGCGGCAGCCTCACTGTGGGAGGAGTGTGGCGGCAGCCTCACTGTGGGAGGAGTGTGGCGGCAGCCTCACTGTGGGCGGAGTGTGGCGGCAGCCTCACTGTGAAAGTTAAGACACATGTGCAACATCTGGATATCTTTATTGTAGACGTTTCGCCATCCAGTGGCTTTATCAATACAGATTCTAGGACATAATGGGGAATACCGCCTACCAGTGACTATGCCCTTGTCTGCTGCACGTCCTTATCCACTGACTCCTATATAACCGCCAGTCTTCTTGCCTTTGCTCCAGATTCTCCTCCACCACGATGCTGTGAACACTAACTCCAAGGCTGAGGGACTGATTACCTCATCTTTTGTATATAGTTCTACTGTCTTCTAATTATGTCCTAGAATCTGTATTGATAAAGCCACTGGATGGCGAAACGTCTACAATAAAGATATCCAGATGTTGCACATGTGTCTTAACTTTCATATTGTCGGTATTTTATACCTTTCTTGCACAGCCTCACTGTGGGCGGAGTGTGGCGGCAGCCTCACTGTGGGCAGAGTGTGGCGGCAGCCTCACTGTGGGCGGAGTGTGGCGGCAGCCTCACTGTGGGTGGTAGAAGTCTTTTTTGCTGAAGCATGATTCCACAGCACTAACTTCAATACAGTGGTAAGAGGAATCCAGGTACCTAAGTATTTATGTGAAAACTGTGTCTAGGTTGATTTAAGAACTATTTCCCAACACTCTGAAAGCAGCTTCAGTCGATACAGCCAGAACTGCCACAGTACTATTGTTGATCAATAAAATGTATTATTGTTATACTGAAAAAATACACTAAACCCATATGAGTCAAATCTGAGTAAAAATGGAGGTAATATACTATAATTAATGGAGTGAATCAGCTGAATAGCAGTCATAAACTGCTATTCAGCTGATCCAGTTCATTAATTATATTATTATAATTAAGGGGGAGTGCTAAACCCATAGGATTATAGAGCACGTGGGGGGGGAGACGGAAGGTATTCAGGCTCAATTCAGAGAATCAGAGCACAGATCCAATTCCCTGGAACAGGAGCCCCTCACCAGCATCAAGGAACCTCCCTTGAGGGGTTATTAATTATAGCTAAAATTGTAAAATACTAAGTTGGTTTGCAGTTGATGGTATTTTCTTGTGTAAATGGTAAAAAATAACCAAACTTAAGAAAACCTGCCTAACCTAAACTAACCTAACATAACTTAGTCTTACCTCTGCCACCAGTACTGGCACATCTTTGCTTACATTTGGCTGATGTGTGACATGACAATGCCAAGAATAACAATTTGTACAAGAAATACTTATGTGTTGTAAACTAATACCCGAATTCCATCGAGCAGTAGTCAGTAACCTCAGTTAAACTGAAGCCCTTGAGGCTTAACTTAACCTGCTGTTATAGTGCTCAAGTACCATATTTAGGGCATATTATTATTACATTCTTATAGGGTTCAAGGTCCCCAGTGGAAATAAATCACCTTATCTAACATTTTTGGGTTATCCTAGATAATTTACACACATTAATATATATGATAATTGTGGTTACCTAAATTTATGTAATTATAGTCATATGTAACCTAAATAAACTTACCTAAACTTGTAGGGGTCATATATTACTACACACATGGGGAGGGCGAAATAACTCATGTCATACAGCACCTGGGGAAATGAGAGGAAATCAGATTTGATCCAAGGAAATAGAGGGCAAGTCCAATTTCTTGGATCAAAAGCCACTTACTGGCATGAAGGCACTTCCCTTAACAGTTATTAAGAGGAGTGAAGTCTTGCAGGTGAACTTTCACTGAGTCGCCTCCCTTGATGCCTCTCTGCTACCTTCAGTGGCAACCAGCAGTCACTTTATGCTTTTATTTATAATGTGTGTTGCAAAATATAATATAATAAGAGTGGAATAAAGCTTACAGAGGTAGTATATGAGTGTGAGGAGGGAGGGAGGTAGGGAGGTACAGGTGTCCACAACACTTGACGTGTAAACTTTAATGTTTACTACAATTAGTTCCTTATTATGTTATTGATATTATTATTTTATAATTATATAACACTTTCTGATATTTTCTTAAACCTAATACTCTCTTTAATGAGCTTATATTTTTGTGTAAAATTCACAGAAATCTGAAGGAATATTACTTTCCCTTGATAATTCTTCAGTTTTATATCAACTGTACAATCAAGTATTTTTAGTAAACCTGGTATTTATTTTTTACCTTTGGTAGGATAACTTTATTACATATAATTAATTTGTATTCAGTAATATGTTATATAAAGTTGACATACACAAAACTTGCCTTTGATCAATATGGAGTATAAGTTCTGGTCAGAACTCAGGTATTATATTATTTTGTAAAATACGAGCAAGTTATTGCATACCTTAGCAATAATTGTTATTTCTAGTGCATTCTTATATTATAGGAGATATTAACAAAAATAATATAAAAATATATAGGCCGAGTGATATGTCTGAGCCAATAAACAATTAGTACTGAGTCGTTTAAGCCGCCCAGACAAAAAAAAAAACTTTATTTGTATGAAGGTAGACTGGTAGGCAGCGCTCCCACTTCACACATGGTTCGATCCATGACAAGGATGAAAATATTGGTCGTGTTCCCTACACCTGTTGTTCCCTTCACCTAGCAAGCAAGTAGGTACCTGGGTGTTAGTCAACTGGTAATTGGGTTTCCTTAGGTTAGTGTCCATTTCCACAAAATATATCCAGCTAATATTAATCATTTTAGGTATCCTCCAGAGAGATACTTGCGAGTGGTTGTGTGAATACTCTGTTCAACCTCTACTTTTTTTTCTATTACCTGAAAGTGCAATAAGACCCATGGACACAATACCAGGCACAAAAATATTTATGACATTCCCCGTGTCAGGCTAAATCTTTTCAAAAACTCAGTGTAAATAAAAAGACCCAAAATCTGGAACTATCTTCCAGAAATCTCCAGAACTACTGACTCACCAAGCATTTTTAAAACTACACTTAAAAAACACCTTATCTCTTTAGCCTATCCTACTCCATCATAAATAAATATGTAAAAACTATACATGCATTTGCTCAATATCATGAACTTAGTTAAAACATTATAATCAATGTATGCTTACTCTCAATATCTGTAATCCTCTCAAGTGTTAATCATAATGCCACTGTGTCCACCTTAGGTTAATAATCAAAACTATAATTCTTTTCTTCCAAACTTATTAAACCCTTATAGCACGAACTAATAGAATATTCAATTTTCTAGTGTTCATTGTAACTCACTTAATAACCACATGTACAATTACTGCCCTGTTATTGCCTTATTAATCTCAAGATAGTCTAAAGTTTGCCCGAAATGCTCTGCATAAAAAGGGGCTTTTGGCATGTACCTGGAGTATACCTGGAGAGGGTTTCGGGGGTCAACGCCCCCACGGCTCGATCTGTAACCAGGCCTCATGGTGGATCAGGGCCTGATCAACCAGGCTGTTAGGCTGGCCGCACGCAACCCGACGTACGAACCACAGCCCGGCTGGTCAAGTACTGACTTTAGGTGCCTGTCCAGTGCCTTCTTGAAGACAGCCAAAGGTCTATTGGTAATCCCCCTTATGCATGCTTGGAGGCAGTTGAACAGTCTTGGGCCCCCGACACTTATTGTGTTGTCTCTCATCGTGTTAGTGGCACCCCTGCTTTTCATTGGGGGAATGTTGCATCGTCTGCCGAGTCTTTTTCTTTCATAAGGAGTGATTTTCGTGTGCAAGTTTGGTATTAATCCCTCTAGGATTTTCAAAGTATATATAATCATGTATCTCTCCTCCCTGCGTTCTAGGGAGTACAGGTTTAGGAACTTCAAGCGTTCCCAGTCATTGAGGTGTTTTATCGCATTTATGTGTGCCGTGAAGGTTCTCTGTACATTTTCTAGGTCAGCAATTTCAACTGCCTTGAAAGGTGCTATTAGTGTGCAGCAATATTCCAGCCTAGATAGAACAAGCGACCTGAATAGTGTCATCATGAGCTTGGCATCCCTAGTTTTGAAAGTTCTCATTATCCATCCTGTCATTTTTCTAGCAGATTCGACATGATCACTCCCAGGTCTTTTACATTAGTTTTTCGCTCGATTGTGTGGTTGGAATTTGGTTTATACTCCGATATAGTTTTAAGTTCCTCACGTTTTCCATATCGGAGTAATTGAAATTTCTCATCATTGAACTTCATATTGTTTTCTGCAGCCCATTTAAAGATGTGGTTGATGTCCGCCTGAAACCTTGCAGTGTCTTCAATGGAGGACACTGTCATGCAAATTCGGGTGTTATCTGCAAAGGAAGACACTGCACTGTGGCTTATATCCCTGTCTATGTCAGATATGAGGATGAGGAACAAGATTGGAGCGAGTACTGTGCCTTGTGGAACAGAGCTTTTCACTGTAGCTGCCTCAGACTTAACTCCGTTTACTACTACTCTTTGTGTTCTATTTGTTAGGAAATTATAGATTCATCTACCAACTTTTCCTGTTATTCCTTTATCACGCAGTTTGTGCGCTATTACGCCATGATCGCACTTGTCAAAGGCTTTTGCAAAGTCTGTGTATATTGCTTCTGCATTTTGTTTGTCTTCTAGAGCATCCAGGACCTTGTCATAGTGGTCCAGTAGTTGGGACAGACAGGAGCGACCTGCTCCAAAGCAGAGGCGTCGCTAGAGTTGGTGTCACCCGGGGCGGAATCATTGGTGTCACTCGGTCCGACTTGGACCATTGACAAAGTCACACTGGTGTCACTTTGGTGTCACCCCCAAGAAATCCAAGGGCGGGGGGACAGGGGTAGTAAACTCCAGTTACATCACTGCTGCATGACCAATGACTAATGTTTAGCAATGGGAACGTTTAAAGGCCATAAACCGAACTTTATTAATGATAAAATAAATAATCGTAGTAATATTGAGGAAATGTAAACTCAAATACCACTTTGAGTACAGCCAACAGATCCTACAGACATAGAGAACACACATAGCAGGCTCTTCTGTTGGGACTCCGGTGGGTGAATGGGGAAGTGTGGACAGACGAAGAATAGTCGGTGAGAGGAAGGTCTTGAGTTGTAGATGAAATAGCTAGGGCTAAACCCAGCTGCGTGGCACTGCGAGGCAGTGTAGAGAGGGCATGTTGAGGACATAGAGGAGAGAGCAGACTGCAGACAGTGCTCGCTGGTTGATATGCTTCAGGCTGAGGTGAAGAGCTGGTTTGGACGTCAGGTGTCGGTAGGTTCACATTGTGTGTTGCGGAAGTGTGTTGTGTGTTTGGCTAAACTTCGCTGGTGATGGAGCCACTCTTGAGTCTTTTGAAGTCTCTCTTGGACATGTGGAATAGTTGCATTCTGAGGTTGGAACAGTTCAGATTCGTCACGAGGTAAGATAGTGCATTTTCAAAAGGAATTTGGTGAGGTTTGTTGCAGGTGTACTTAACAGCTCCCTCTTTCATTAAGTGGAGCATATCAGCTGCGCTCATTTCGGTTGGGAGGTTGGGGGTGGTGTAGAAGGTTAGAGACCCATTAAAGGCTTGGCTTAGGTAACGGTTGCCTGTTACTTCTTCGGTTACTTCTTCGATTACTACTTCGTCGTCGTCAGAGGGTTGTTCATAATGTTGTGGTACTATTTCGTCTTCTGTGACTGTGTTGAGAGGAGGCAGGGAGTGTTGGTCGGTTGTGGTTTGTTGGCCTGGTGGTGGGTGGTGAAAGGTGACAGTAGACGGTGGTGTTGGTTCTGGAGTAGAGTCTTGGTCAGAGATGCTAGTAGGACCAGGGGTTGAGGTGAAGTTAACAATGTCTGGAATTAGCTTGAGGAGGTCTTGTGATGGTGGCGAGTCTGGAAAGTTGAAGTTTGGCATGTTGTTAAGGCGAAACAGTTCATTGATTATTCTATTCAAGATTGATGGACTGAACACATCGACTCAAGGTTGAGGGACTGATTACCTCATTCTTTTCCTGTTCTTCAAGTTTCTCCTACGTATGGACTGATGAAGCCACTGTGTGGCGAAACGTTTCCTCAATAAAGATACCCAAGAGTTGCACATGTGTCTAATTTATCAACATGTCGGTTCTCTGAACCATTCATCTACAGTTCATTGATTGTTGTGTTGAATGAGCCAGGGTTTGCAGCATTAGTAAGGTGTGCATACATCATACAGTATAGCACCTTGGATGGAGCAGCGTCAGGAAGAGCAGAGAGGGATTGGCTGGGTGGAGATGATTGTTGTGTAGCTTGAAGGAGTTCGATGGTATCTGATTGAATTTTTGCAATGGCGGCGTATGTTGGCGATTTAGGGTTGTTGTTCTTGGTTTCTTCAATGATTTTCTTAGACAGGACTTCTTTGCGTAGAGGGCATTTTGCTGCAAGGGTGTGGTGAGTACCCTTGCAGTTGAGGCAGGTAGGAGAGGTAGTGGTAGTAGAACATTCTTTGAAGTCATGGCCGTCTTTACCGCAGTTTGTGCAGTACTTCTTCCCTTTCAGAGGACAGTCAGGCGTTGAGTGGTGATAGGACTAGCACGTCCAGCATGGCGAGATGTGGGCGAAACGTTCGGGTTCTATGTGACTTGGATGTATGTGATAGTAGGAGATAGCTAGGCCGTCAGACAGTGCTCTAGTAGCCATCTCGATGTTGGAGAAGGTTAGCTTGATCATTGTAGAGGCGTTGGGGATTTTGGTGATATGTTCAATCGACGCCCAGGTATTTTGTTCCTCGATAGAGGTCTTGAGATCCTCAGTCGATAAAGAAGTGACGAGTTTGTCCAGCCGTTTGACGAAAACGGAACGTTTCGCCAGAAAAAAAGGTGAAGGGGAGATGGTGAACTGTCGGTCTCTGAGGGTTTTCATAGAAGTGTCGGCGATCAGCTTTGAGGCTTCATAATCATCA